GGTGCAGTTGCTTATGGAGGATAATAGTGGGCGGCAGTTAAGGGGAGGGGAAGGCTGGGCGGTGGCAGATGAGAGGGACGAAGAAGGGCTAGGGTTGAGGTTGTGTGACTGGGTGTTTGACGTTGGGAAAACAGAGAAGGGTTGGCAACTGGGAGAAACAAAAGAGAAGAACAGGAGTGTTAGCCTACGGTTTCACGCCTCAATTAAGCCAATACAATTTTTATTTCATTCTTCAATGATTAATCCTGATTACAATTGTATTTAAATAGAATAGAAAAATACAAGATTCCCTAAATCACTCAAATCCCTCACAATCAATCACAATCAGTCAGTTACTAAAACTGATTAACTACCAAATCCAAAACCAAAACTCAAAATTCAAATTAACTATTACAACTGAAATACTACTAACTGAAATAACTAATAAACTGAAAATCAAAACGAGGGATATGATACAACGCTGAAATGCGGCGTCTCCTACGCTGATAAACTCGGTGAAAATCCCATGCACGTGTCTGGATGTCCTCATCATGATGTTATTATGTTAGTGGATTACGCAAATTTTAACCTACTCTTTTGTTAATTCATTAGTTCGCAGATGTTACTAATTCGTTTTACTCTCTCTTGCAGGGGAGGAAAAAAAATCCATCTGTTTAGGTTTTTCCCCCCTCCCATCAGAATTGGCTTAAGTAACGTGGTTCAACTTGATGTGCAACAGGAAGTACATAAATGCCCGAACCTTCCAACTCCTCAAATAATCAGGAAATTTTTTTTTTTTTAAAGGTAGAGACAAAGAGGATTACCTTATTGAAGAAGCAATAGACTACAAACTCCCTTTTCGCCCTTTTCTTCGACCTCCAGCTTTGCTCGCATTTTAGCTTTTACAGGGAGACAAAATGACGCGAAAATAAAAGGGTTGCCTTCTTCTGCTCTTCTTGGCTTCAGAATCGAAGTAGCAAATGGAAAAGGAAATTCAAGCGCTGGGAAATTTTACATTTGCTCAGTCTGATGCACGTGTCTTGCACATGCGTATTTAGTGACGGCATGTGTCGGAAACCATTGTTACTTACAAAGTAAATAAAATATACTTTTATGCGTTTAGTGACTTGAATTCGTATTTTTTTTTTAAAAATTGGGTTTTTCATATTTACGCATCTATTTGGATACATTGGCTAAACTTTAATTTTACTTCGCAAGAGGGTAGGTTGTCTGAGAACAAGAACAAGCATATTGACAGAAGATGATCAACGATCATAATAATTAAGCCGTGATAGGTGGATGATCCTTAATCCTTGGCATTTGTTTCAAAGAAATTAATAGCTTCGGGGGACTTGCTTCCAAATATGATAATTTGAGGGTCTTGTATCCAGATATAAGAGGTTAATAAGGGAACTTGTATTCAAATAAATGAGATTAAGCGGACTCGTATCTAAATATGTGAGAGGAGGAGCTGACTTTTAGCCAAATTTAATGATATGGGGGATTTGTATCCTCATTGATGAGATATGGGGGACCAATTATATCTCAAAAACCCTTTACTTATATTATTTATTTTATTTTTGTAAAGACAATATCTAATTTCAATGAAGCAGATTTGGTACAACGAATTTGAGACTGATGAAAAAGATATTACAAGATATTCAGCTCTATGATCACTCAATACCTCCCTTATATGCCAGTTGAGATTTCTGACAAAAAATTCACCAGTGATATTCAACACATCAAATTCGTCAAACCGGTAAGATCTCTACTTGTTTCCAACAGTACCAACCTCTGAAAACCGCGATACCTTTTGAATACACAATGCAATGTATGACAATTTACCGACCCTCCATCATTGTAACTGTTATATCATTGACAGTACGTCTCGAAGAAAACTCCGTATCCACCGAACTCCTGTAGGTGCAAAAACCAGGCGGTTTTGGCTGCGGCAGACTCATTTGTGCACCTAGCATCAATGCTACCAGAGACATATCTGGCCTATCTTCTGCCCTTTCCTCAACACATAAAAGGCCTACTTGCACGCATCGCACAACTTCAGGAATTGAAGCAGGAGTTCTAATTGATTCATCTAACAGTTCCAAGCATTTTCCCTCCTTCCACAGGTTCCATGACTGTAATATTTCAACCAACAATTGAGCATCTGAACACAATATATAGCGAAAGATTCGCACCTGCAGTTACTGTTACTTACATAACTTAGGAGGTTGAGTTGGGGCTCAGCATAATATGTTGCTTTGTTCTTCTTGCCGCTTATGATTTCTAAGATTAAGACCCCGAAGCTGAAGACATCGCTTTTAACTGAAAAAATGCCGTCCATTGCATACTCTGGAGACATATAGCCACTGCATGCCGATATTAGTATAATTATACAAGTCTGAAACTTAAGAATAATTGGAACATAATGCTTACAGTGTCCCGACTAGTCTCTTGGTATGTTCGTCTGTACCATCACCAAATGTTCTCGCGACACCAAAATCTGAAATTTTTGGGTTCATATCATCATCGAGAAGGATGTTGCTAGCCTTCAGGTCCCTATGAATAATTCTGAGCCTTGAATCTTGATGAAGATAAAGAAGTCCTCGGGCTATTCCTGCAATGATTTTGAAGCGCTTCTGCCAGTTTAACAGTCTTGACTTCGATTTATCTGTAAAGTTGTTTATTGAAGTCAATTTCTCAGACTAGCTGCTGCACTTTTACTGTTAAAAAGAATGAAGAGCAAGGCCCAACCAAAAATAATGGTGTCCAAACTTCTATTGTGCATATACTCGTAGATTAGCATCCTTTCTTCCCCTTGAATGCAGCAACCTAAAAGCCGGACAAGATTAATGTGCTGAAGTTTGATGATCAACATAACCTCATTCTTGAACTCTTCAAGCCCTTGTAATGATTTTTCGGATAGCCTCTTTACAGCTATGAACTGTCCGTCTCCAAGCTTACCCTACTCATAACATGTTATTCCTGCAGTTAGGTAGAACGCCGAAAGAAAATACTTACTTATGCAATGTATTTTACCTTGTAAACAGCACCAAATCCCCCCTCACCAAGCTTATTAGCGATTGAGAAATTGTTTGTAGCCAATAATAAGGTGTGTAGATCAAATAAAGGAAGATCTAGTTCATTACTGGGGCTTTGGTCAGTATTGATAGAACTAAATGACAATTGCAAGTTCCTGGTGCTTCTCATACGACGTGCTCGACGAGAAGCTACAAAAATAGTAAGATTATATGAGTTCATATGAAAACATAAATATAAATTCAGAGAAATAGGTTAACATACAATGACGTTTCAATTTCTTCTTTAAGACGCAGCATCCACAGAACCCCAACAAAAGCAACACTGCGGCTATGATGACAATGATAATTATCACAGTTTCCTTACTTTCTGATTTTCCTTTGCCTGAATCTGTGTCCACAACCTCAACATGAATGAACCATCTAATTTTGTATGCAATTTGATAAACTTCAAATATGAGAATTAGCGCACTCACCGAGCTCTGACGCAGCCAGTCTTATGTAAAGATCCTGCCCATCTTCTTCAAACTCTCTGATATCAATCAGATCACCTCTCCAAGTGATACAACCGCTCCCACCATCACTGATATTGGCATTCGCAAAAGCCGTACAAGAACAATTAGCCAAGCAGTTTAGCCTGCACTCATCAAGGCTCATGCTCTTATTGACAGTGGCCTGAGAAGTATCAGGGAGCTTCAGTCCACTCATCTTAAAAAACCCATCTCGATTCTGACATTGCAATTGTGTTCTCCTCACACATCCACCTGAACCATCTCTCATATTCCAGTTCTGCGGTGATTTGGGTACAAATCCTTTCAAACAATTGCAAACTGGTGAGTCGTTCGAGTTGCAGACTCCATAAGGACCACATTGAGCATAAAAATCACATCTGTCCCTTGGCATTGACCAGTATAAGAACCAAGATTCTTGTGAATCAATCCAAACATACCTTTGGATCATTGATTGATTCAGAACGAATCTCGAAATAACTGAGCTATTTAAAATTTTATACGTATAGTATACTTCATCCTCATTGGAGACGAACTCGAAGCTGAAGGCATTATTGTACTCCATTTCAGGTTCACCACTGAAATCATATCCTGTCCAAGGTCCGTTCCGATAAATTTTCGTTAACCCGTTCCATATGTAGAACTCCGGTGACCCATGGAGGTCCAATTTGAACGAGTAGTCACCGACCGAAGGATCTTCATTGCTTTCCCACGTAGTAAGATACCTGTCAAGATTAGTCTTCAGGTTCCATCCAAGCTTCATGCCCGGCAGAAGAGTATCAGTAGGATAATCGAAGCTCTGCCAGGCTATTTTTTGTGAATCATAGCTTGCATCTTTTACGATAAAATTTCCTGAATCCAACAGTTGAGCAACTGGGCTGGTGAGATTCAACGAGCCAGTCGACCAGAGGATCGAACCCGTCGCATTTTGAAGGATGAGACCTCCATTGTTTTGCATCGTCAGATTGCTGATAGAATCAGAAATTGGGTTTTCTCTGTTTGCTACCCACACTACTGTATGAACTGGGATATTCTTGTACCAGATACCCAAGTACCTGTTTCGGGAGACACCCGGCGTGAAGAAACCAAGTTCAAAATCCCCCCCAGCAGATATCAGGGTTTGGCCATCTGAAATTGACGCTTTCACGGTGATGCTGTCCGTTGAAGATGAGCGAGTTGAGAGATTGAAGAAGAAGAAGAGAAGGAACAGTGGCCATTTTTTGTTCATGTTAACTTCCAGGCTCATGCTTTGGATATCAAAGCTGTCAATACTGGAAATGGAATGACGCTATAAACTGCCGAATTGGGAAGGGCCTCCTTCCTATTGTTCTAGAAGAAAATTAGGCAAACAAAAGGTGGTGGGTCGGTTTGATTAATCTAAAGGTGATTGTTCTATGTGAAGGCAGCAGAATTACAAATAAAAAAAAAAAAAAAAGAATCAGCTGTCCTAAA